CTTCTTTTTTTTTTTTTTTTGGTTTTTTGAGACAGGGCTTCTCTGTATAGCCCTGGTTGTCCTGGAACTCACTTTATAGACCAGGCTAGCCTCGAACTCACAGAGATCCACCTGCCTCTGCCTCCCAAGTGCTAGAATTAAAGGCATGCGTCACTACCAGCTAAGTATGCTCTTTTATGTTCACCTGGACCCGAGGAACCCAACTGGCCTTTATGTCCCATTGAACCAATGTCTTAAGGTACAACAGTCTTAGCCAGACACCATTCCTTACCACACGCCAGATCAGGAGATTGTGTTTGTAGGCGATCTGGAGTGGTGTACATCTTTAATCCCAGCACTCAGGAGGCAGAGGCAGTTGGATTTCTGTGAGTTCAAGGCCAGCCTGGTCTACAGAGCTAGTTCCAGGAGAGACGAGGCTATACAAGACCCTTTCTCAAAAAACAAAACAATGCAAACCAGAACCAACCAAAATCCAACAACAAAAGTCTGATGTCTTAACAGACAGGCACAGAGGTTCCATGAGGACACAGTGGGGGAGGAAAAGGAGAACTAGGGGGGTCATTTCGGAAGGCATTTTACAGGTGTCTGGACATCCTTCTAGCAAGGGCGTTTAGGAGGGCACTCAGTGCTTGGGAAAGCAACTGCTACCCTGACTGCTTTCTGGCTTCTGCTATCAAAGAAGTCTCCAACTCCTTTAACGCTTACATTTATTTAAATTAGTCAATTCCCAGTCTCCATTCCCCCACCCCCAGACAGGGTTTCTCTGTGTATTTATTTAAAAAAATATTTATTTATTTATTATGTATACAATATTCTGTGTGTATGCCTGCAGGCCAGAAGAGGGCACCAGACCCCATTACAGATGGTTGTGAGCCATGTGGTTGCTGGGAATTGAATTTAGGACCTTTGGAAGAGCAGGCAATGCTCTTAGCCTCTGAGCCATATCTCCAGCCCCCCAGCCTCCATTTTAAAGAAACTAAGCTGTCCACATGTCTATGCCTACAGAGAGCAGCTGGGACAGGCAAGAAAGCTGGGGATAGATAATCCTTAGACTGAGGGCTCGAGAGATGGTTCAGTGGTTAAGAACACTTGTTATGCCAGGTAGTTGGGAGGCAGAGGCAGGTGGATCTCTGTGAGTTCGAAGCCAGCATGGTGTACAGAGTGAGGGCCAGGGCAGGGCAAGCTCCAAATCTACAGAGAAACCCTGTCTTGAAAAAAAATAAAATAAAATAAAAAAATTAAAGAGCACTTGCTCCCAGCACCCACATGGAAGCTTCCAAACATCTTTAAGTCCAGTTCCAAGATACCTTCTGGCCTCTTTGAGCACTAGGTATGAGAAGCACAGACACACATACAGGCAAAACACTCATACACATCAAAAAATTTTTTTATTAAAGACATAGCCTGCTAGAGTCTTTTGCACCTAGGCCAGTCCCTGCTTTTGAATCGGCGCCTCCAGAACATCTCAGAGAGGCCACCAGAGAACACTGGCTGTGCTTCACCAACAGACCTTTCCTAAGGAACCCTGGACAAGAGACAGGTTCTCTTCTAGAGGGGATGACTTAGAAGGGAGCAGGGACTTGGCTGTACACCTGTGTGAGAGCCCCAAGGGGGGATCTGAGAGCTCTGACAGGTAAATGTTCTGTCTTCTTTGACCAGAAACTGGAGTCTCATAGCAGTCGTGATGGCAAAGTGTAACCAATGGAACATTAGAAACAAAACAACTGTGGGCGGAGGAGGTGGGTGGTGGAGAATGTCCTGTCTGCAGGAAGAGCAGTTACCTTAAGGGGGACTCAGCTTGTTAAAAGACACTTTAAGGAGAAGCGGGGCGGAAGGTGAGAAGGAGAGGGGAACGAGGAGGAGGAGGAGGAGGAGGAGGAGGAGGAGGAGGAGGAGGAGGAGGAGGAGGAGGAGGAGCTAAGCCAGGCATCCTCTTGCTCATCCTTCCCAAGGCCTCTGCTTCCCAGGACTTGGATGGTGAGTTCTACCCAACTCTAGCCATGGAGTGTGCAGAAAGCCTGGCTCTTCAGGGGAATGAGGCTGGTCCCCAGGACTGTGGGCCTCTGAAGAAAGCATGCCACAGGAAAGGACAGGCTTGGGCCCTGTGTTTGCTCTACAGGTAGTGAAGGCAAAACCCTCCTCAGCCCCAGCAGCCCCAGCGGTGTGAGCCAAAAGTGGAAACACATGGGAGACAGCGCATTACAAGTGGGCACGGGTTTTTATTTTCAGTGCATGGCATTGGTTTCTGCACATCAGCAAAAAGCTTTATTGGTTCCAAAAAAATTACCCATTTTCAAACTCCTCTTCTTCTCTGGTCAGTGGGACGATACATTTGCATTACAGATTTGTCAGTTATAGCATCCCCCAAGAACCATATAAATACATGCAAAACATTATACATAGAGCTTAAATAATATCAAATGCAAATACAGGTTGGGTGCACTGTTAAGCTGAACTGCAAACTATGGCAACGTATGCTAGGGTATACATTGCTTTGATATCATGTCTGTCATGCAGACTACAACAGTCAATTTTCTGTTTTTTTTTTTTCTTTTTCTTTTGTACAAAAATACCAGTGCTCATTATACTAGTTACTGAGAAGAAACTCAAACTTCCTATCTGCATGCCACTTAGAAAAGATGACATAAATCAATTCGTTGGCACATATATATGGCATATTTACATATGGCATATATACATATGGGGAGAAAACATAAACCAAAGGCCAATTCAGCTGCAGGGAGCTCACCTCTCTCCGCCTCTCCCAAGAAGAAGAAAGGGGACAGCAGGCCTATCTGCAGAGCTGGGAAGGCAAGAGTCCTGGCTCTGAGCTAAATGGGAGGGAGGGAGGGTCTGGTCTACCCAAGAAGAGACTGGGATGGCTTTAGAACAGCAGGCATTATAAGTGCTCCCCCTTCCCAACACCAGTGCCATGGGGTGGATGCTAGACATAGAAGGTGACTGAGTGTGCAGACAGGATGGTACCACATGTAGCTTCAACTGTAAAGCAAGGGATGGGAAGAAGTGTGTGTGTGGGGGGGGATACAGGAGAGGATCCAGGCATTCAAGCTTGCGTGCCCCTCTGGATATTTGGCAGTGAGATAATCACTCTAATTGATGGATGAAACTGTCCCCTAAAGCTTGAAGGAAAATATAAACCCAAACTTGAGGAATCTACAAGTGCCCAGAGGGGGTCTAGTTGGTTTCTCTTACATCCTTTGGGATGGAAAAAGCAATTTAAAGGACAGTGAAGAGTTGTTGAGACGGACCTAGTCCTCAAACCGTCAGACAGAGCTGGAAGCAGCCATTGCTGTACTTATCACTTCCAATTTGGAGCTCAGTCTCCCATCTGCTGGATTATACAAAACAGAAAGGCGTCCCAACTCAGATTTGTGCACAAAAACTCACTAATGGGGTCACTCTAGGGGGAAGGGGAAGTCAAAGAAGCATAAAGAAAAGCAAGCCCCACACCAGTTCCCTTGCCGACCAGGAGGGACTCATTGACACCGTTCTGCCAGCTAAGTCCTCCCAGAAGCCCAACTGGCCCTGGCCCCTGGTTAGCAACAAGCCTGGCACTCCTCCACGGCAGCATACATCCACGCCCTGACAGTTGAGAAGCCTCTTTCCGGGTGTTTCCCTCACTACCTGCAGGTTCTTACCCATTTTTTTCTAGGTTTATCGAAAGAGGGCTCTATGACATATTCTCTTTCTCCCCATCAGACTGCTTTCAAATCCACAGCACCATTTAGGGGAAACTGTTACTAACTTCCGTCATATTTACTCACTGCCGTCTGGATCACTGAAACTGAATAGAAAAACACATAAAAATATATGCACAGAAACACTTGAACTTACTCAATTCCATATCAACAAAATTTATATTAAAAAAGTCTAGAACCCAACAATTTTTTTTCCTAAATACAAAGATGGCTGTTCGGAGAAAGGAAGTAAGGTATATTATTTTTTTAAACCAATTATAAATATATTGAGCCACCTGTCATGTCAAACAGCTGGCCGTGTGCTCCCCTCCATGGTGTTCCATGACGGCACTTTATTTGAAATTCTTTAAACAATATATATATATGTATATATATGGCTGACTCAAAAATATTAGTTTTTGATCTAAAGAAAACTATATTTTTTGCATATTTCTATATTTTCTCTCTTACTATGGAAACTAGAACACGCACATACATACACATGTGCACATGCGCACGCGCACACATATAAACACACACACACAAAGCTATTGACTTTGAAGAGTAGACATAAAGCCCTCAAGAGTGACCTGCCAGGCACCACAAAAAGTCTCTTGGGAGCAAGGATGGTAAAATGGCCTTCGAAGCTTGTTATTGGCTTGCTTTTGTAAAAACAATCTGAGGTAATAGAAGAGTTGGCAGAATCAAATCTTCTAATGTACTTAAGAGCGTGTGTGTGTTTGTATGTGTGAATAATTAACAACTCCAGTGAGCTGTTTGTTCCCCACGAGGAAAGACTGCTGACGTGGGTCAGCTTTACAAAACCCCAGTCAAAGCCTTCTCCCTGTTGCCTGTAATGATGGATTACACTGCAATGGGTGTGGAATGGTGGCTGCTTCTTCACCCACCCTACCTTGGCAGTTTGGGTGAAAAGTGGGGAGGGAGGAAGATCTCTAGAAGAAAGGCTAGGAGTGGAGGACAGGTTCCTCTTGCTTTTCTCTCCCGAGTGGAAGCCTGGAGTTCTCATGAGCCTCATGCATCCTCCTCTACGTCCACCACCCTCGAAGGTGGGAGGTAGGCTTCACTGATCTAATGGGAGATGGGACTTGGGGACATAAATTTGGTCCACCTGCACAAAATGCTTAAGTCAGCAGAGCAGGGATATACATGGAGCACCCGGGGATGTGCCTCCACCTTGTCCCAGTAAGGTGAAGTCCCTTTTGGTGAAGTTCCCAGCTCCTTGGCAGAGGATGCCTTGGGCAGTGTTGGGGGGGGGGGAAGGCACGGACTTTCCTGGGCAGCAGTGGAGACACTCGCTGCTGGAGGCTGGAAAACAGGAGTGTGAAAGCCAGGAGATAGGAGGCAGGGGCTTTCTGGGCCTTTGCTCCTCGAATCAGAACACTGTCAGGGAGCCTCCTCTTTCGGATGCATATTTTCAACATTGGTATATTTGCAAAAGTTGCGGGGGAGTCTCCTTTAGAGGTGGAAAATATTGTGGGACACAGCAAAGCAAAGCATAGAAATAGGAAAGAGAAGAGAATGTCCAAGCTGGTACTCAGGTGTCTAACCTGAGGGGAGGTTTCTTAGATCCCAATGGATTAGTTCTTTAGCCCCTCCCAAGGTTTCTTAATACTCATTCCTCCAACAATCAGCTTCTGCCCTGGGAGAGCCTTGGCAAATACTCTTGAAAATAGTCTGCTTCCGTGATTTCTGGTTCTAGGCCTGCCCCATGTTGGTCCCGGAACTCCTCATCCAGCTAGGAGGCAAGGTCATGCCCCATTCACTCTTTGGCTACTACCTTAGGCAAGGAGGAAGCTCAGGCCCATGGTAAAGACTATATATTATATACAAGAAACCTTCATGCTCACGGCTGATTTCCCTGTCACTTAAAACCCCCTACACACCCAAAGAGAGAGGTGCACATTCGGAAGTCGGAACTGACCTAGTGAAAATAGGGAAATATTTCACCAGCTCATTTACTCCAAAAAGACCATTTTAGAAAAGAAATCTGTCTGCCTCTAGAACAAAATGAAAGGTTCTATTGGGGCTAAAAGGGGCCAAAGTTGACTCAACTTGTCTATGCCCTTTCTGTTCTCTTAATTACCAAAACTTGGAGAAAAAAATAAAAAGAGTAAGAGGAAGGATGATAAGGGTCATATAAGAACCAAAGAACCTTGGGGAGGTCAGACTGAGGGGTAGGAAGAGCTACTGGCCTTAGGGTGTACATTTTCAAAACAGGAAAAAATGTTCTAAGAATAATCAGTCTACTGAAACACAAACACAGGGTATTTGTCTCTCCCTGAGCTCACGATTTAGCTTGTAAATGGCAGAAACTCCTAAAATCTCCAAGTCAGGAGGTGGTGACACAGGTGGGAACCCCGCGGGAACTTTGGGTTGGGTGATGCTGGGAGGATTGTCATCATTTCTTTCAATATAACAACTGTTACAACTAAGGAGTAGAGCTACCGCTCCCTGCCCAGGGTTTGACCGAATCCTCGTCGATCTGTGTTCTTGTTTCTTCATGGCCAGGTAGGGGTTCTCACACACTTAGGAGCAGCTGACACAATGGTGACAAAGTCCCATCATCACCTCATAGGCGGGATGGATGAGAAAAGAAACAGGGAAAGCAGGGGTGGGAATCAGAGAACGGAAGTTCAGACTGATGTCTCCAGGCTTTGCAGAGGGCTGTCGGCATGGGAGGCGATGGTCTGCACTTGGTTGCCACCCACAGCACTGTTGTTTGTGTTGTCATTGGGAGTGGCCACACCATCCAATAGGAGCACCTTAGTCCCCGACTTAGGAACCAATCCAGGGTCTTCCTCGTGATCATCTATGAAGGATGGTAGAGGTTCATCATCTGCATTGTATCCAGGTTGGGTCATGAAGTGGTGAATGGAGCTTTCGTGCCTGGATTTCGCTCCAGGGTAACTATGGAACATTTTGAGCACTTGGATCTATACCAGGGGAACAAGAAAGGATGAGAAGATAGAGAGGTGAGAATTGGCAAGGAGAACAAGAAAAACTAGTGGTTTAAGGAAAGAAACAAAACCCCACTACAAAACATTAATGCTCAACAAGCCAAACCACCACACACCTCAAAACTCAGGCACAAGGCGTGAGCGAGTGAGGCAGACAATAAGGACATTTCAAAGGGTGCATTTTATAAAGTAGCACAAGACAGACTTAGCATTTCCAAACAACCCACTCTTAAAATGAAATCAAACCAAGAGATTCATTAGTTCTTTTGGGTAGAGGACAGCGTGTTGGAACTAGGTGACATTAATGGACAAGCCTAAAAGACAATCCACACAGGTTGCCTTCTGTATGGAAGCCAAACCTTTTGTGGATGTGGGATGGGAGAATTACACACTGTAGTTTTGTTATGTGTTTAAGCCCCCTCAAAGAGCCAACATTCACCAATAAACACTGGGTGACAAGTGACCGTGGATACCGTGCAGCCAGGCAGACAAACCAATCTTCATTCCACAGCATGCAGGAAATTAAAAGTCCCTAACTGTTCAGTCAGAAGACATGCACATCTTTATACCCCCACAACCCCGACTGTGTCTCCTCCCCATCAAAAACAGAGTTCCTGCTCTCCTGAAAGATGCAGATAAAACACAGGTGTGAAAAGAAGCCTTGCCCTGCCTACTGAAGAAGGCCCGGTGTTCACCATTCAAGTGCACATCCATGTCTGATCCACAGCAATGCTGCCCAGACCCACTGTGAAAATGTGTGTTGCTTTGCCCAGCCATTTGCATACTGTGATGAGGAACATGACCTTGTGTGAAGAAGCGGAGGACCAGAAGAGAAACCTGACCCAGGAGGCCAGCTACAAATAAGTGGCTTTTTTGACAGGACAGTTGAAAAGAATGAAGAAAGCAGACACTCTGCAGTGTTCCTGGGTGAGTGGGCGAACACACTCCCGTCACTCTGTGTTTGACCACACAGAAGAAGTCAGGAGTCCACAGAAGACATCTGCAATCAACTCTGAGAACAGCTTTACTGAATCAGAAGCATTAACTTGTTTGGTGTTTGGGTTGTTGGTTTGCTTTGCTAATTCTACATTTCTGAACAGTGTCTCTCAAGTGTGGCCTAGAATCTGGGCTGGTAGATTGGGGTGCGGTGTATGTGTGGGGGGACTGGATGCCAGAGAGAACACAGAAAGGAGACCAGGAAAGGCAGGCGGTGATGGGATGGTTTTCACTGGGGCAAGCCATCAATCCTAGTTTGGTTCAGATACATTCTCCCTCAGAAAAGAGACGAGCAATGATGTTAAGCAGGAGTTGTTAAGATCGGGAGAAAGTTAAGAAGTAGTGGGTGTTGGGGTAAGAGTGTCTCTTTTATTCTTCTGCTGTTTAATATATTATATATATCTATGTATATATACACACATATATACACATATATACATACATATATACATTCCTGGAGAAGAAGCAAGAGCATGGAGGTAGCAGCACACACAAACAGCCAAATAAACCAGCTGGATTTCCTGTCCCAGGACCTCTCATCAGTCTACAGATCCCGCAAAGACACTGCCTCCAGTAGCTTCCCCATCAGAACCGTGGTTCTCTCTTCTTTGGCTAAGGCTGCCTTTCCTTGGCCTCTCTCCTCTGTAGCCTACAGTGTCACCCATGACTGGAGGGCTCAGAGCATAGAAGGCAAGGGACTCTGCCACTCAACTGTCAGCTCAACACTGCAGCATACACAAGAAGCAGACGGGCCCCTGGAACCTCGTTGAACAACAGTGAGGGCCTGCTCTCCATTCTTCGGTGGTTCTGTTGACCATCTGCTGGTGAATTCCACCAGTCAGGTTGCCCCTGCTCAGATCTGCGTAAGATTAGGCAGAAGGGAGGCCACCACTAACCTTTGTGTGGTCCCAGGCTTTTCTGTAACCTATTCTTGAAATATTTGAGTAACACAGGCTAGATTAAGTGAGCTCAAACTCGATTCCCTCTCTCCTAGTCCTGGTATAGATAGCTACTTTGGCCAAGGCACAGGACCGAAACCCTCTCTTTAGTAGTATGGTAGCAGTGCTTTTATCTGCTATTGCTATCTTCACAGTTCTCAGAGTCACAGAGGAGGGCAGGGACCTTTGTGTCACTAGTTCACTGTCTTCCACATTACTGAGTTTTAAATTTGTTGCTTCTGGTCTCTCTCTCTCTCTCTCTCTCTCTCTCTCTCTCTCTCTCTCTCTCTCTCTCTCTCTTTCCTTAAAGCAACTGGACACTCTATCGCAACAATTATGTGTGAAATCCAACAGAAAGAGTTGATTTGTGAAAATTAGTGTCAGAGGGTCTGAGCTTGTTTTCTGACTTTTCCTTTCCCTTGTTGGGGCAATTGATAACACTCTGATGGGCAAACAAATGAAGGAGATACATGTGAAGAGGGATGGGCAGGCGGGGTGGGGGGGTGGAGGGAAACCTTTGAGAGAAGCAAAGACCAGTCTTTCGGTTAGAGTTTAGGACTTCTAGAGAGCAATGGGACCTAGCTACCGGTACAGGAGCGAGGGCAAGGGGCGAGGGCACCTGGCCCAGGGGGTTGGGGTGAGGCTGAGGGATGGAGGAACGCAACTCCAGCACAGGCTCGGGGAAGAGGTGCTGATGGACAGTCACAGAGGGACATCACCAACTGATCCAGGGCTGGCATCCTCTGTGCTTGGAGCACAGGGTCTGGTGCGTGAGAAGTATGTGGGGATGAGGGACGGCTGGTGGAGCTGGTAAGAGGACAGACAGCCTCACACACTCCTCACTTAGCCAGCCAATGCTTCTGTCTTTGAACTTCAGTTCTCAAAAACTCTGGGAAATGCTTCCTGAGGGGCTGATTGAAAGGTGACTCCTTCATAAGGCAGGAGCCCAAAGTAAGCTGGACCTCCAGGTGAGTGTGGCACACCCTCTGGAGCTCAGCGCAAGGTCTGATGCACTAGAATACTGTGCTTTTCTACTCCCCTGTCATTGCTTAGGGGTAGAGAAGCTTCTGGATGGAAGCCTTAGAGACCTTAGGGAGATGGGACCCGCAGGTTCAAGAGCTCTGGAATGGGGAAGAGGGTTTTAAATACACGACTGCAATTCCTGGGAGCTCCAGGGAAGGGACAAGCTAGAGAAGGAGCAGGTGTGCTCTCTCTCCTTTGGTCTAAGTTTTGGGGGGTCAGGGCATGGGGTCTGACAGCTCCTCTAAGTCCCCTGGTCTCTGCCATCAAGTCTGTGGCTGGAACAGCCAGCGCTAGCCCTTTCTGCCAGAGAAATGAATGACTAAGCAGGACTGAAACTCTTTAGAAGGGGAGTAAGTGAGGAACGCGGAAGGACCAGAGGGAGAGGCTTATCTAGTGCCTTTGGGCCTAAAGAAGCCTGCAGACACCACTGCACCTCCACCTTCAGTCCCTTCTCACCAGAACTCTTATGAGTAGCTAGCAGGCAGAAGCAAGTTAAGCTCAGAAAACCTGCTCACAGTCATGTGAACCACAGGCCATGTGACCTAGGGCTGGCAGTGGGGAAGGAAGGATTGGACACTCAAGTATTTAAAGTCCAGAATCTGTATGACAGTGGAGAACCTTCCACACCAGGCACTATAATGATAACAACATCCCCTCTGCTTCCTCTTCAGGGAAAGTAAAACGACCAGAAAGTAGGAAGGCCTTAGCAAGCATTTAACAATCTACTAATGAGAACGGCAAGTCCTAGTCTGAAATCTGACAGCTATTAAGTAAGGCTGTACAGTTTCCTAAAACTGAAAGTGCAAGATACGATACAAAGGACTGGTTTCCGAACAACCAAACTAGATGAAAAGATGGGGGAAGGCTCTTCAGAAACGTTCAAACTCATAATCTTCTTACCTCATAGTACTGAGTGCCGGGTTGCCACCTACGACCTCACGGGCCAGAAGATTTTGATTTCTCCTACTCATTTGTGAATTAATTGATTCATGAAACTAGAGTTATATTGAAGGTCATCACTGAGAGCTAAGACAACACAGGTTGAACTAACTTCCCCTCTCCAACCTAGTTAGTGCTTCTGTGGCCAGCTGACAGTGCAGTGGTAGCCAAAAGGACTGCAGTGATTGTACAAGCTCAGTCCTGGCTCCATTAGGGCAGGCCCTGGTTAAGGACCTGTGGGCAGAGGCTCTCCCTCACCCCCAAGTGAAGAGGCTTCCTAGGTCTTCACTGGGACTGACCTCATAGCTAAAGAGTTAGATCCAGAAGAGGAGGAGAGGGACAAGGCACCAAACAAGACTCAGGCCAGACAAAGCAAAGCAAAGCAAAGCAAAGCAAAGCAAAGCAAAGCAAAGCAAAGCAAAGCAAAGCAAAGCAGCTCAAGAAAAGCAGCAGCAAGCAAAGCAGGGGAGCAATCAGAAAACAGGGTTATTGTCTTTAAAATCGCTAAGGTTTAGTAACTTTCCAACATTAAAAAAATAAAACGAAAGGTCATATAGCCTGGTTTTAGCAGGGACTGGGGTCTCTCTTTCTTTTTGTCTTTTCTTCCTTTAAGTCAAAAGATCAAAGGGGGGGGGGGGGAATGAAAAGGACAAGTAACCACTGTTGGTTAAAGTAGATGCCACGTGCTCTCTGGTGGTTGCTTTAGCGAATCATGCATTGTAACAGACTCTCACTCACTGCCCACAGGAGGAGATGTAACGGCGGAAGAGGTGGAAGGGGAGGATTTGACTGGTGCAAGTGCGGCTGAATAGGAGCTAGGAACCAGTTTTATATCAAGGTGTTGGCTCACGTTCTGTCGCTTTAGGGCTCCCTTAAAAGAGGCTCCCGTCTGGAATGTGTTAATTACTTCAATCTGCAAAGAATCAGAGAGTAAGACAGCTTTGCTCCACAGAGAAAAGGGAGGAAGAGGAAGGTGGGGCCAGGAGGGTGGGGTGGGGTCAGGAGGGTGGGGCAAGGGGGGGGGGCAGAAAGCCAGAGGGCTAGTCCCTCAAACCCAGAGCAGCTGGTGAGGGTGAGGTTGGGAGGGCATTAACTGTATATCACCATTTAAGGAACACTTTGCTATGGATTTTCAAACACCCAGCTATGACCCTCTGGCCTAGGATGGACAGGTGTGTTCAAAGGCCTTGAAACCTAAAAAGGAACTTCTCCCTACCACTAACAGCTAGAGGGAGGCCAGGAGTTTATTTGTCATTTTGACCTGTCCTCTTAAAAATAAGGCAGGCAGAAACTGTGGTCAGTATGTAAAATAAATGAAAAAAAGTTAATTAAATATAATTTCAAAAATTAATTAATTTTTAAAAAGGCAGTCAATTTGACGTATCGGAAGCGAAGTATGGATTAGTGAAATTTAGGGTTCAGGAGCCTCTAAACCAACTAAGTCAACTATTATTACAAAATTTCTAGGAAAATAACACACATTTAAAGAGAAATGGGCAGCAGAGTGAGTAGTCCATACACGGCAGCCGTGGTGGAAAGACTCTTAGATGACTTGCTTAGTTTGGGCGGCATCTTTCATGACCATCCTCCTCTGGCTGCCCTGGAGCTCAGGTGGCCTCTTAGAAATCCGCTCATGGCATTACTTAAGCACTGGAGACCTTCACAGGCAGGCAGGAGGTCTGGCGCCAGCCACTGCCGAGGCGCCTGGAGGCTATAGCTCTCCAACTCTACTTGCCTATCAGATCAGGCCTCTGGCTTTCGGCTGCCTCTGCCTCAAGGATGGAGACAATTAATCCCATCACTTTCCCACAGAGAAAGTGATCTGGGGGTCTTCATCAATCTACTAGCCTTCTCTTTGATCCCTAAGTCTCAAGGAACAAACAGAAGGGGATTTGTTTATCCTTCTGAGATCTGGTGGGATCCCCGTAGGAACAGTCCAGAAGGACAGAAAGGGCACTGTCTCTGTCCTGTGACTGCATGCACAGAAGATGAGGCAGACATCTCTTCTTGTGTGCAAAGCCTCTGTGGGAAGCCATGAAGTGCTTAGGGGTGGCCTCGGGTGGAGGCCAAGGCTAAAGCACCACCCTTTCCTCACTGAGGAGCTTTCCTGTTCGGTGGAAGAAGAGGCTCTTTTCTAGTTGCATACAGAGTTACAAGGTTCAACTTCCACGATGAAACTGCATGTCATGTTTACTGTTCTAAGAGTCCAGCCCTTTAATTCTTCAAATATTTGCTTTCGAGTGCTTTTACCTCCCCCAAACTAAAGGGTAAAGGGAGAGGGAAGAAATGCCTAGAAATCCCAACCAGGACTAAGCAGTAGTTTGGCAACACCTCCCATCCGACCTGCTGCAATGGGACGGGCAATCTGGACCAGCAGTATGACAGTAAGGGGTTTTTTGTTAGGCCCCCACCGAGGCTGAGCAACGGATGGGGTGGGAGGGCTTCAGACATGGAAGGTGCATCTTCGGCCCAGAGGTGCCAACAGCAGTGGCACGGATGGATCGTGTCAAGGCATCTTTAATAGACTGCCCTTGGAGCCTAAGTCTAGGCTTCTGCTTCCCTGTTTTGGAGGTGGGATCGAGCTATATAGCCCAGGCTGGCCTGGAACTAGAAACCCTCAGTCTCCTGGGTGCTGAGATTGTAGACAGGTACCACCATGCTTGGTCTCAAATTTAGGCTTTAAAGCCAATTCCCAGCTACTGTCTGCTCTAGCAGGGAAAGAGGGATGCCTAAAACTCCACGTGCAGTGGGACTGAACAGGAGTACAGGTGAGGGAATGGGCACTGGCAGTGAAGGGGGGGGGAAGGTCCATGAATCTCTGCTCCCCAGAGGAAGACTGGCAAGAAGCCAGGAGGCTCTGTAATGAGGGATCCTGGCTAGGAAAAACAAAACAAAACAATCACACGGTAGAAGAGGAGGCAGGTGTTCCTGAAGGGAAGAAAAGCGAAGAGGTTATTTTGAAAAGAACAGACCCAAAGGACAGCAATGGGGGCTTTAGAGGTGGGAGTCAAGGTGCTGAGTCACCCAAGGGACTCAGTGGAGGGTAGGCGGGCAGAAGTGGGGACATGACATCATGAGGCAGCCTGCAGGTTACGATTTCCTTCCGGGCAGAGAGAGGAAAGGAGCCCCAGGGTTCCCTACCTGTATCTCATCCACGTTTCTACCTGGTGTCTTGTTCAGGGAAGGACAATTCCTACTGAGTAAACAGTGGAGGGTGTGCATTCATTGCTCTTCCCTGTGCACTAAGGGCGGATGTGTGTGTGTATGGTGGGGCGGTCAGGCCATTTTCTAAACCAGTCCAAGGTCAGTTTTTGAAAATAAGATATTTTTGGGATCTCTAGCCAACTAGGAGGAAGAAACAGGCCTTGCTCTGCAGAGTCCCCTTGAGATCTTAGAACGGTGGTTTGCTCAGGAATCTTGAGACTAAAAGAGGACAGGGTCGAGGGGCTGGAGCAGAGGAAAAGCATCGTCAATGCCAAGGCCAGTCCGTTCACCCACAAGGTAGTTATGTGAGGAAAGTGGAGAAAAAAAAGCTACGGTTAGGGTGACAAGCAGAGGACTTACTTGTACTCCATTTCAGAAATGACAAGAAGGGAAAGGGGTCAGAAAAAAAGGACAGCATCTTCCTCTTTGGGAAGCAAGTCTGAGTCCTTCAAAAGATATCAATGGAGAGACTATTGTTCATACCTACTTAATCATCAGGTTCCTCAGAGAGGCCTTATATCAACCAGGACAAGATAGGCAGGTGAGTTTCTTTATCAAAGACCCCAGGTAACAGCTTCCACCACAACAGTAACATGAAGGACATGCCGAGTGACTGCCAGGGATGCGGAGTATGAAAACGGGGTCTCTTATTCCTTCTTAGGGGGAAGGGAAGGGCTACACATTTCCTGTGTTGAGGTCCAGACTAGGGTTGCAATAGACCTTATGTGGGAAGGCAGTTTCACCGACAGACCTGAGGGGTGGGCTGTAGGGCCAACCACAGCTGAGGAACTTAGTGACCTCCAAGAGGAGTCCCACAGAGACTTCTGGCTCTGTTGACCCCTGAAGCTATGGATCACAGGCTGCCCTTCAGCAACGAGCCTTAGGAAAGGGTAAGACTGCTGGGAATCTCTGCTTTTCTATTTCTTCCCAGGATGGGGAGATCGCTTCCCTCAGGGTAATAACAAGCTACTACAGAGTACCTGAGTCTGAATCCGGCTCAGGCCACGGACCCAGAGCACCTGGCCCCTGCGCAACTCCATCTCAGCAAGATCGATCTCCTCCAGTCCCTCGGCATCCTTGGTGATCTCATCCTTGGCAGCGCCATGCCCAGCCTCCTTCAGGAACTTCAGAGACTGGGTGGGTATGGCCGAGATGACCTGAGAGCAGTCGCAGCAAAGGTGGTAACAGCCAAATGGGAGAAGAAGAGATGTTAGCTGACCTGGGCCAGGCCCCCAGGAGGCTTCTCTGCCCTAAGCCTTTCCCACCAGGACAGCACCAAGAATCACCAATCTGTTAACCAATTGTTCCAGCTGTCAGGTCTCAGGAAGGTGCCAGCATTCACAGACATACAGAAGGGGACTTAATTCTCATAATGTCTTAGCCCTGTGCCTTTCCACACTCACTCTGTCTCTCTCTCTTGGGTCTTTCTTCCCAGCGTGAGCCTTGTCTTTTAAGACAACAAATTACAAGGCAGGCACACAGTGGGAAGAAGAAATGGGGCCTGGGGCAAACCAAGCTGGGAGGAGGGTACATCATATGCATGAAGTTGAGGGGCTGAGAAAGGAATAGGAAGACAGTTAGCTAAGAGTTTCACCCCTTCCTTAATCCCATCCTTAGTCTGTGAAGGGGCACTAAGAGATTCTCAGTCGAGACTTGAGATCTGCAAAGAAGGACCCAGGTATTAAGGGAAGGATGAAACTCCTAGCTTAGCTGACATTATTGTAATTAATATTAACACTCACTAAGTACTTGTAACAGGTATTGCCATATTTTTTGTATAGTCACAATTAGTGATGACTCTGTTATCCTATGTTGAGGTCCCTGATGAATGGAGTGGTTAAGTAACTTGCCCATGGCTGCTCAGCTTGTGAAAAGGAGAAGGGTGGGGCTGGAGAAATGGCTCAGTGGTTAAGAGCACTGATTGTTTCTTCTGGGAATTCTGAGTTCAATTCCCAGCAACCACATGGTGGCTCACAACCATCTGTAGTAAGATCTGGCGCCCTCTTCTGGCATGCAGGCAGAACACTGTATATATAATAAATAAATAAATCTTTAAAAAGGGACTGGAGAGATGGCTCAGCGGTTAAGAATACTGCTGCTCTTCCAGAGGTCATGAGCTCAATTCCCAGGTGCATGGTGGCTCACAAACATCTGTAATGAATGTCGCCGGCTCTGTGAACTCTTCTACTTTCAAGACCCTCAGATTTATTTTTTAATGGAAAATTTCTACTTCTGTTTGAAAAAGCCTAAGTTTTTGCAGCCCCTAAGCACGGGCAGAGAACATAACCCCCTGAAATGAAGGCACCCCAACCCGGCACCTCGAGATGGAAGGAGCTTGAAACCATGCTGGAGGGAAGGAGAGGGAGAGGAGGTGAAACAGGAGCTGGGTGACTGTGGTCACTTGTCCCTTTCCTTCAGAGCTGAGAGGTCCGCAGCTCCAGGATCTGTAGAGGGCACCCCACACTCACCTGACCCCACAGAAGTTCTCCAATCCCTATGAAGAGACACCACATCCACTGCTCCATGTTGAGGTTTGTACAGCTGAAGGGCTTACCCCCAAATTCCACGATGAGAATCTGAAACAGAGCGAAGGGCAGCCCACCATGACAGAAGCAACTCCTGGGGGGAGTCAGCCCTCCACCCACCAAGACTGACAAGGCGGCCGAGACCACAGTGCCCCCTGCAGGGCCCAAGTGGGACAAGTCCTGATATTCTTGTGGCACAGGAAAGAAAAACTCTAGAAGTGAAGGGTAACAGACACACTCATTTTAAAGCACTTCAATGGGACTCACGCTGTCACATGACTATCGTGACAGTGATTAATATACGGTCTGGTCACAGCAGAGGAGGTGACAAACAGAAGGCACAGCAAGAAAAGGAACAGAGTCGGGAACGGGGTGGAGGGAGGGGCTTTGCTGAGAGACAAGCCAGCTTATTTTTGAGATTGTGTGTGTGTGTGTGTGTGTGTCTATGTGTGTGTTTATGTGTGGGTCTGTACTCTGATCCACGTGTCACAGAAGCCAGAAGAGAGTGTCAGGTCCCCTGGAGCTAGAGTTACAGGTGATGGTGGGTCAAAAATGATAAGGGTGCTGGAACTCAAACACTGGTCCTCTCTTACTGCTGAGCTGGGTCTCCAGCCCTGGATGGATGTGTTTTTGTGCTGTGACCTGCTCATAGTCCTTTGTAACGACGTGCCTTCGCGAATCTCTGATTACAGCAAGAAGGAAGGGACTCATCTTCCCACTACCAGGCAGCTGTGCTCCTGACCCTACTTCCTGTAATGGGAGCCCAGGCCTTGGTTAGCACAGCACCTGCACACGCGCTAACCCATCACTCTTTCCTCTGTGAATCAGGCGACATTTCAAGCATAAACCCATTCAGAACACAAGGGCAGGGTTGGGGAAGAGGGTGGGGAGCTAATATTACCTGTACATACACATTTTACGTGTGCAGGCACGGAAAGGGGGTAGAAGATGGTGGCCCTTCTCTTGGTCACTATATGAGCTGATCAGTACATTTAGAGAGATCATGAAAGTATTCTACAAGCCACATTTGTGGGTCACATGCTACCTTGCCCTGGAGCACCTGACTGGGCTCAGTTCTAGAACAAGGTGCACGTGGAAGCAAACCGAGAGTCCTAGCCTGTTTACTCACAGCCGTGGTCCCTCTCTCCTCATCTTGGACACATCAGAGGCCTGGCTTCTGCTCTCCAGCCCCCAGCCCTCCTACCCCAGCTCCAGACAGAATCTCACCTGGCAGATGAACGTGCCTAAAACCACAGAGCAGAAGATGACGTTGCGGTAGATGCCCGCAAAGACGTTCTTCTCGCCGTGGATCTTGCGGGAGTTGATCTCGTTGAAGAGCTGCATCAGCACAAAGGTGTTGAAGACAATGGTGTAGTGCTGGCTGGGCGGGGAATGGAGAGGCGCCTTCCTGCCACTGTCAATGTCGAACAGTTTATCGCCTAGTGGGGCAGGACAAGTTTTAGAGGATGACCGTTATGGCGATGTCTTGTCTGTGCTGTAACAAATAAAGCTTGCCTGACTCCGAGTGTGGAGCTAGCCTCTAGTTAGCCATAGAGGCCAGGCAGTGGTGGCACACACCTTTAATCCCAGCACTTGGGAGACAAAGGCAGTCGGATCTCTGTGAGTTCAAGACCATGCTGGGCTACTTGAAATTGATCCAGTCTAAAAGAGAAACAGAGCCAGGCTGTGGCTTACACCTTTAATCCCTGTACTTGGGAGTCACACACTTTTAACTGCAGCACTAGGGAGGTGGAGTCAGGAAGGGACATGGCTGGGCAGAGAGAGGAGTATAAGGTGGGAGGAGACAGGAGCTCAAGTCATTCCATCTGAGGACTCATAGAGATAGGATCTTGCCCACTTGGCCTGAGGATTCAGTAGAGGTAAAAGTCTCTCTAGTGGCTGGCTCCTTTACTTCTCTAATCTTTCAGCATTTGCTCCAATATCTGACTCTGGGTTGTTATTATTAAGACCAATCAGAATTCTCACTATGGACTGAGGTCTCAGTGAGGGTTCAGGCTAAGACAGAACATGTTAGGACAACCATGCTGGTAGCTTCTGACCGTTGGAAAGTCCATTTTAACTGGCCAGCCGCTGAGTTATGCTAGATATTGAACATTTTGTTTTTAAAATAAAACATTTACAAATTATTTTAGATTTATGTGTTTTATTTTATGTGTACGAGTGTTTTGTCTGTATGCATGCCTGTGATCCATGTGTGTGCCTGGTGCCACTGGAGGGGCAGCAAATCCCCTGGGACTGGATTCACAGATGGCTGTGTACCATGTGGGTGCTGGGAGCTGAACCTGAGTCCTCTGCAAAAGGAATAGGTGCTTTTAAGTGAGGAACTCTTTCTCCAGGCCCCATTATTGAAACATTTTAGATGTTGCCTCTGGTCCACCCTATCTGATTTTGACGGTCAGTTGGCATCTGTTTCCCTGCAGTGTGGCGCGACGGAAAGCGATGCGCACAGTGGCTGTGTGTTGGGAATGCCTAGGCAGCACTTACAGGTGAAGCTGCTATTACATCGGCCTGTACTTCACCATCTACTGAACAACCTTCTCTTCTCAGCCATTCTCTGTCCCCAACAGAGCTAACACCCAACAGCTGCCCTCCATCTCCCCTCTGCAGCTCACCAGCAAAGACGAGGACAAAGACGACCGTGAGCTGATACACTGCATGGCCCAAGATGTTCTTCATCATAGTGCGTGAGATCAGGGGCTTGTTTCTCCCGTAGGGGCGACGCCTCAGCAGAGACTCGGTAGGGGGCTCTGTGGCCAGGGCCAGTGAAGCAAAAGTGTCCATGATCAGGTTAACCCACAGCATCTGCACGGCTTTCAGTGGAGAATCCTGGTAGGAAGACGAACCAGGCCTTTTAGCTTGCTCCAGACACCAAGCCCGTCCCACACTCCATCACTCCCTTGAGGGGGCTTAGTTCCCACTACCCACTAGACCTGGAATTTAGCTACCTAGGTATGGATTGACCTTGACAAATTTAGTTCTCATCACTATAAGGGGAAAATAACATCTGCCTAGCAAGGTCGCTCTGAGAAGACAAAGATAAGCCACATAAATGTACTTCATAGTTGCTGACAAAAAATGCTAAATTAATGGTAGGTGAATGATGTAGGATTCCCTTCTGTATGCTGTGAGTGTGTTCTGTTACCATTGGTTAATAAAAAAGTTGCTTTGGTCTGCAGCAGGGCAGAATAGAACGGGGGGGGGGGCGACTAAACTGAATGCTGGGAAAAAGTAGGCGGAGTCTGGGAGATGCCACGTATATGCAGGAGACAGACGTGCTGGAACCTTGCCAGTATACCACGAGCGTCATGGTAAAATATAAAATAATAGAAATTGGCAAATTTAAGATGTAAGAGCTAACTAGAAACATGCTTAAGCTATTGGTCAAACAGTATTGCAAATAATATAGTTTCTGTGGGATTATTTTGGGTCTGGGCGGCCAGGAAGGAATGATCAGTCTCTGCCAACAGGCAAACCATTACTACGGTAGAGACTATAAACCTGGTATATCTAACTGTGCAAGCAGTGCTGGACAACACTTGTCCTTAACCCCCCACCCTATGTTCTTCAGCCCTTGAGTCATCCCTGCCATCCATGCCTCGCCCAACCTGAGTGATACAGGCTCCAGTGAACGCCACGATCACAGCCACCACATTGACCGTCAGCTGGAACTGCAGGAACTTGGAAATGCTGTCGTAGACGTTCCGTCCCCACATCACTGCCTTCACAATGCTGGTGAAGTTGTCATCGGTCAGGATGATGTCTGAAGCCTCCTTAGCCACATCTGTGCCTGCAATACCCTGAGGTGGGAGAGGAAGGCAGGCAGTGAGCCGCTAAATGGAGACCCTGTGAAACCCTGGGGTCTAAGGACGCTGAACCAGGTACAGGTGCTGGAGGGCACTATTGCCACAACAGAAAACACTTTCCTGCTGCTCTCTGGAGAAGATTCCCTAAAGTGAGCAAGAGAAGGGCCATCATCCTCTAGTACACATGGAGTTGGTGTGTGGGAAGTGGTAAGCCACTGGGGCACCTGGGTCCATGGCTGCTCACTATTAGAAGAGACCATTACACAGCTGGAGTCTGACATCATCGACTGACTGCTGTCCCAGATGAGGAATTAGACACCTGTTAGCAGTCCTTTCTCCCCACCCTACCACTCCCTCAACCTTAGAATTGAAAGGGTGGGGGCAAGTCCTATCTATTCTACCTCCAAATTCCTACATTTTTTCACACAAACAAGACTGACGTCCATGTCTCCCCAGCACCTTTCCGAAACTGTGCACTTTGTTCTAGGAAGAGTGGTCTTGTGGCATACAATGTTCTGTCCTTGTTTAGAACCCTGTCACTGGGGACCCATGAAGGATTTTTGAATAGCTATGTCAATGGCTGGAAACTTTCTAGGCCGACAGTCCATGTCTTCACAGTAACCCTGGATTCATGTTCCAACCTGCTCTCAGGCAAGCTTTCTGCTCAAAATGTACTGACAATAATTACATTAAAAACATTAGGAATTATAGTTTTTATCTTAAGAACTACAAATATAGAATCAGGGAAGGTAGAAACAAAGCAGAAAACTAGAAATAAATTAGGAGGTGAGCATTTCAGAATTTTAAATTTGATCGAGAAACATGAACACTGATTTAGGATGCATTTAATCTTAAAATCTGATGTAGAAACCGAGCTAGGCTGTGAAAGGTCATCTCTTAGCTTGGTTAGAGAGATGGTGTGTGCTCAGAGGGAAGACGCACCTTCATGCTCTGCTCATGTTCCCTAATGTGGCGTGTAACTAAAATGAGGCAGGGCACATGGAAGAAATGCATGGTGTCAGATCCGAGATAAGAAATAGGTCCAGCTGGTTGGTGGTGGCACAGACCTTTAACCCCAGTGCTCATGAGGCAGAGACAGGTGGATCTCTGTGAGTTCGAGGCCAGCCCAGTCTATAGAGTGAGTTCCAGAACAGTCAGGGCTACACAGAGAATCCTTGCCTTGAAAAACCGAAATAAATAAATGAAAAACAGTCCCAATCTCTCTGCAGTGTCTGATTGGGCAAGAAACCAAGAAAGCGGTAAAAAGACACCCAGGGTTACATGAAAAGGACTCAGAGACACTGAAGAGGCTCCTCCTGGCTAATTAAGGGTCAATTTGAGCACCAAGACAAAAACAAGAACAATGCGTTGAAACACATCAAATATATATTCACGTTCCCTTGTTTGGGCTGAGGTGTACCTCAGTGGCAGGACATTCGTTTGATATGTTTGAGGCTGTTGGTTTAATCCCATACTGGGGGGAAATCATGTGTTTGTAATAATACTTAAAAAAAAAAAAACAAGCCATTGGTGGTAAGGAAAGGGAAAGAATCAAGCATTTAAAACGCCTTTCATGTACGGACAGAGGTGGAGGGAAATCTCGCTTTGTGTGACTATTCAAGTTCATAATAAATAAATTGAGAATACTGTCATTTCACAATCTCCAAGAAGACATAGGACCGATTGATTCTAGAACCAATGTATAGAAAATAGAAGGGACAAACCAGACAGAGTGGTTTATACTTAGTGTATATGTGTACAAGTATACATAGTGGTGTATCCTTGAGGATTCCAGCCCCCAGAAGGCTGAGGCAGGAGGACTGCTTCAAGTATGAGGATAGCCTTGGCTACAGACTGAGGGGAAGTCCAGAGCATGTCTCAAAACCCAAAATGAGGGGAAAAAAAAAAAGACAAAAAAACAAACAAAGTAAAAACCAAAACCCAAACCAGATGCTTCAGGGCAGGACACCTTTAATCCCAGTACCTGAGACAGAGTAGCCAGTTCCAGGCCAGTCAGGTACACAGTAAGCCCCATCTCGTAAGAAGCCCTTGTTATGCAAACCTGATGGCTTGAGTTTGATCCTAGCACCCCACAGAGGAAGAAAACCAACTTTCCAAAGCTGTTCTCTGACCGCCAAGCCCATATCTTGGCGGGTCCACAGATACACACACACACAAGAGGCCGGAGTGACGCAAACAAAACATAAAACCCCACTCAAATCAATGCCAAGGGCCCAAACAATATCTGCATTACAGGAGACAATAGGAAAAGGAATACAGTGAGCATATTCGTGCTACTGAACCATCTGTGCAGACAGCAGACCCAGTTCCTTCAACATAAAACCACTAGGACTAAAGTGGAAGGGAACTGTGCGTGGCCCTGAGGCTGCCATCCTAAGAAATGCTCACTTGCAAGGGCTAGCTCCTGGGAACTTGGCTCTCAGAATACCCTGGTCAGCACTTAATAACTGAGACGAGGTAGCTCACTCACACACAGTCGGGTGTGTCCGACCTTTTGACATTGTGACAACACGGTCACCTACCAAGTTGTTACTCTAAAAGGGTGCGATGGAGTTACAACAACAACAACAAACACCACATACATCCCCCCCCCCCAATCTCATGATATGTAGAGTATGTTTTACAGTTTTGTGCTGGGCCGCATTCATGGCTATTCCCGGCTGCATGTAGCCCACAGACACTTGGCAGAATGTGCTGAAATCATCTGGCTTCCACTTCTCTTTAGGGAGTCTGGGATTTTGGTATGTGTTAGAAAGTTCCCCAAAGGCCAGTATTAATAAGAGCTGGGGGACCGGTGTGAGGGCCTCCCTGTCAGAGGCATCATGCACACTGCTGACGTGTGGCAAATACGGAAGAATGGACTCCCCTAGTGGCAGGGGGAGCACAGGGAGGCTGCGTGTGGGTTCCTCTGGATTCTGCCAGCATCTCTTTCTTTTGGGATCTAACTGTATCCTCAGCACACATCTATAACAAATGCAGCCATGTGTGCACAGAGTACATAGGCCAGGTTCCACATTCCTTCTTTGGGACACAGGCTGAAATCAAATCAATGGTCCTCAAACATGAGGGCACATTAGGACCCCCAACTCCAGGCCGTCTGGTTCAGCAGACTGGGGTGATGCCTGATAGTTAATATTTCCATAGGTTTCCAGGTAACTGCTAGTGCATTGGAAGTTGGGATACAGTTTTAAAACTGTATCATTTTATGTGTGTGGGTGTTTTGCCTGCCTAATGGTATATGCACCACAGGTGTGCCTGGTGCCTGCCAGAGAGTGAGTCAGATCCCCGGGAACTGGAGTTACAGATGGTTGTGAATTGCTTTGTGGGTGCTTGGGAATTGAGCCTTCATCCTCTGTTAGAGCAGACATCCTCTTTGACACTGAACTGTCTCTCCAGGCCCATATAGGACACACTTTGAGAGCCACGGCTGTGGTTCAGACACTCCACGGATGCTTCAGACAGCTATAATGTGTGGATACTATTTGGATTCTGATTTGGACAGATAAAGCATCAAAACATTTATGAGTCAGTGGGGGGAATTTAAACACTGACTAGAATTTGGCAATAGTAAGAAATTGTCATTTTTTTAAAGATTTATTTATTTATTTACTTATTTATTTATTGTTATACAACATTCTCCCTCCATGTGTGCCTGCAGGCCAGAAGAGGGCACCAGATCTCATTGCAGATGGCTGTGAGCCAACATCTGGTTGCTGGGAATTGAACTCAAGACCTTTAGAAGAGCAGCCAGTGCTCTTAACCTCTGAGCGATCTCTGCAGCCCCCCCTTTTTTTTCTAGATTTATTTATTTATTGTGTATGCAGTGTTCAGTCTGACAGTATGCCTGCAGGCCAGAAGAGGGCACCGGATCTCATTACAGACGGTTGTGAGCCACCATGTGGTTGCTGGGAACTGAACTCAGGGCCTCTGGAAGTGCTCTTAACCTCTGAGTCATTTCTCCAGTCCCATCACTTTTTCTTTTAAATGAGAAATTCTATTATAATTCTTTACACACATTAAATTTGCATTATTAGAGATTATTAAAATGTGATGACTACAAAGGACAAGAGAATTCACCTGGATAGAGAACACTGGTGGGGTGGTCTGTGAAGAAGGTGGGCCACAATCATTACTGAGGCAGAGGAGCACGCCCATGGGGGTTCATTACATGACACTAACTTCTTAGGCATGCTTTTGACATTTCTTAGAATTAAAACTGTGTTTGGTTTGTTTATTGTTTTTTCGAGCTACCTAGGAGCTAGAGAAATGCTTGGTGGTTAAGAGCATGCAATGCCCTTCTAGAGGACCAGAGCTTGATTCCCAGCACCCATACTGGGCGGCTCACAACTGTCTCTGGCCTGCATGGGCATCAGTATATTAGTGAATATTCTCTCTCTCTCTCTCTCTCTCTCTCTCTCTCTCTCTCTCTCTCTCTCTCTCACACACACACACACACACACACGTAATTACAGAAAAAGAGCTCCATAAAGATAGGCTCTTTTCTTTCTTTTTGAGACAGTGCCTTACTGTCCAAGCTGGCCTGGAACTACCAATATAGACCAGGCTGGTCTTGAACCTGAGATCCTCCTGCTTCGACACCTCAAATGTGCATCTCCAAACCTGGCTAATACGACCCTGACACGCACACGCACGCACGTGTGTACACGCACACATTCACACCTACCTCTCTAAATTCCCTTCCACTTAGATCCCAACCACAGTGGACTTGGATGAGAGTCTGGGAGTAATAAGCTCCTTGAATGTGAGGGTGCACTTTGTACTCTGGGGACTTCCAAGCTTCTCTGCAGGTCAGAACCAATGGCTGTGCTTGCGACAACCGTCATGCCTCCATCACCTGTCGGGGACCAGCCTGGACATAAATCATTTCTTATACCAGAGTGGAGGTGTGGGAATAAATGAGGCACAGTTCACATGACAGCATCGGGAGGGAGTTGTCAGGGATTATCCAAATCCTGAAATCACATCCTCAAAATTCACCTGCGTTTATTTTCCAAACGGCTTTTATTTCAAGGTAAATTGAGGGGGGCAGGTAACACAAACTTCCTGGGGGGGGTGTGAATTAGGTCATTGTCCTGCCTCTGCCTGCTTTATTGTGGCTACTGAAAACACCTCTTCCCCAGGCAACCTCCTAATTTACAACAGAAGAAGCCGAATGATATTAGCATAGCCCGATCACTTGGTAGGATGACTTTTGCTATCAAAAACATTTTTTTTTAAGATTTATCCATTTATTATGTATACAACATTCTGCCTCTATGTATGCCCGCACGCCAGAAGAGGGCGCCAGATCTCAGTACAGATGGTTCTGAGCCACCATGTGGTTGCTGGGAATTGTACTCAGGACCTCTGGAAGAGCAGCCAGTGCTCTCAACCTCTGAGCCATCTCTCCAGCCCCCTATCAAAAACATTTTTATAGTCAAGTCAGGTTTTGATAAAAAGTCAGGTTTTTATATCAAAGAGCCAGGTGACCATCTTCTGTGTGGCAGGTGCAAATTGCGCATTGTAGGTCGCTCAGAATTCTCTGACCACCTGACAAGGTAGGAATGGGCCCTACAATCACCACCGCCAAAAAACCCTCAAACCAAACCAAACCAAACCAAACCAAACCAAACCTCAAACGCTTCAGCACCCATTGACCTTACTGAAGCAAGATGTCTCTTTGGGGAGGTTTGAGTTATAAAAGAACTTGCCACAAGGCTCTAATACTCATGGGCTTGCATGTGCAGAGTATGCACTGAACATGCGCTGTGTGGAAGCCGAATCTCCCGTGATTTGCACAGGCAAACAGCACCACAGTGCTCTTGTTTCCCTGGGTGAGGCACTTTGTGATGTCCCCGACGGCTGCCATCTGTTTTCCACACACATTGTTGGCCAGGTAGGCAGGAGAGATGGAGACGGGAAGAAAGGCACAGGCAGGAAGTGAAGGAATAGGAGGCAGAAGCACCCTGGGGAGCTTACCATGGCGAAGCCAACATCTGCTTTCTTTAGAGCAGGTCCATCATTTGTCCCATCACCGGTGACAGCCACGACCTGCCGCTGTTCCCCAACCGTGCTGTCAATGATACCTGGGAAAAAGAGACACACACAGCAGTCAACACACACACACACACACACACACACACACACACACACACACACACACGCTCGCAGCCTGAGGTTGTGGCGGTTTGAAAGAAAATGGCCCCCAAAGGGAGTGGCACAATTAGGAGGCGGGACCTTGTTGGAGGAAGTATCTCACTGTGGGGGTGGGCTTTTAGGTTTCCTATGTTCAAGCTACTCCCAGCATCAGACACCACTTTCAGTTACCTGAAAGATGTAGGCTCCCTCTGGCTACTCCAGGCTACCTCTCCAGCACCATGTCTGCCTGCATGCCATCATGTCCCACCATGATGATAATGGACTAAACCTCTGAACTGTAAGCGAGCCACCATAATTTTTTTTAAATATTTATTTATTTGTTATGTATACAATATTCTGTGTGTATGTCTGCAGGCCAGAAGAGGGTGCCAGACCTCATTATAGATGGTTGTGAGCCACCATGTGGTTGCTGGGAATTGAACTCAGGACCTTTGGAAGAGCAGGCAGTGCCCTTAACCACTGAGCCATCTCTCCAGCCCCTAATTTTTTTTTTTTTTAATAAGAGTGTATGTGGTCATGATGTCTCTTCACAGCACTGGAAACTCTCAGGACAGAGAGGACAGAGGTCATGTGGCAAGTACTGTTTCCCATGAAAGGGACACTTTTGGTCTCCTCCCCCATCTCTATCATTCCATATCTTTCTCTACTGCCAGGTCTATAGTAACCATCCAAGGGCAATTGATTCACCAAGGTCACCCTGAGTTGAGAAAGGCAGTCTTCATCCAGACTTACACAGCCTTACACAGCAGCTAGGTTGTTGGGAAAGCATGAGATGGCTTTGAAGACAGACATCTGGGTTCCAGTGTACCACCTCACCCTACTAGCGAGGGACTGACATCCCTGCCCCCCAGCTCTAGACAGCTGTGATGGTCCACCCCTGAACCTGCAAAGGCAGAAGGATTAGGAGTTCTAGGTCATCTTCAGCTATATAGGGAGTTTGAGGCCAGTCTGGGTTACATGAAAACCTGTCTCAACAACCTCCTGCCTCGTCCCCAGATGGTGGCCGCCAGGGGAAACCACAAAATGCCTCACCCGAGAAAACAAGAGCACTGTGGTGGTGTTTGTCTGTGTGAATCACAGGGGATTCGCCTTCCACATAGAGCATGTTCAGTGCATGCTCTTCACATGTGAGCCCATGAGTACCAGAGTCTCTTAGTCGGTGCTTTTATAAGTCAAATATCCCAAAGTCAGGTGTGGTGGCTCACGCCTTTAATCCCAGCACTCGGGAGGCAGAGGCAGGCAGATCTCTGGGAGTTTGAGGCCAGCCTGGTCTACAGAGCTAGTTCCAGGACAGCCAGGGCTGCTACACAGAGAAACCCTGTCTCAAAAAACTAACTAACTAACCAACTAACTAACTAACTAACTAACTAACTAACTAACTAACACAAAAGTCAAATATTACAAAGAGGTATCTTGGTTTAGACAACAATAACAACAACAAAGAAAGAACCCCCCCAAACTCTACTAAAACTCCAAACCAAAAATCTCAACTCTATTGTATCACATACTTGCCAGGGGCTCAGACGTTTGCTAAATTCCATGTTTACCTTTTAGCCTGGAACCTCTCCTAGGACTGCCTTCCTGGGGACAGGAGAGGACTTTGACTAAAGTCTCTTTTTGTTTGAGACAAAGTCCTACAGTTCAGGCTAGCCTCAAACTCACTATGTAGCCAAAGATGACCTTAAACTTTGGATCCTTCTGACTCCAACTCCTAAGTTCTAGGACCACAAGTGTACATCTCTATGTCTAACTCTTCAATGGGTAAGCCTTTCTGTTCTTTTTTGGGGGGCGTAGGGGTGTTGGGAATTGAACTCAGGGCCTTGGGCATCCTAAGCAAGTTTTCTGCTACTGGCCACATCTCCAGCATGGCCAAGGATGGCTCTTTATCCGTCTTTCCCTTGGACTGCCAGCATCTATGGCAGGCACATGCACAGGCTGACCTCACCTTTCACCAGGGTGTGCTTGTCCGTGGGGGATGATCGTGCCAGCACCCGAAGCTTGGGCCAGATCTTGTCCAGCTTCTCTTGTTCCACCTGCCAATACCAGAGGCACCTGGATCAGTCACACTCAGAGCCGCTGCTCAGTGAAGTCTTACCCTTCCACATCCTCCCAGCTTCCAAGAGTGCCGGAACTTCATAGCCCTGGAGGAACCCTTAGTCCCTGGCCTCTGGGGAGATGGAACAACCAATATGGCTTCACTGATGGCTGACCATGCAGGCCCTTTTTTCCTTTTCCCTTCCAACTTCCTTTCTGGGATCCCAATCCTTATTTCTTAGTCCATTATAGGAGGAGGTCAGGGTTAACAGCTTGCTCAGGGGCTTCCAAGGAGCTGCTGGGGTCTTAGGTCTGAGTCCTTGTAGACCTGGAAGTTTGAATCTATTCCATTCCCATACTGAATCCAAGCACAAGCCTGTGCCACCCCCAGCCACAGGGCACTGACACTGGAGGGGTAGGGTGGGGAAAAGCAGCACAAAGATCACTCTATGAGTTTAAAAGCAGAAAGATACTGAAGTTAGTGACTCTGCACCCACAGGTAACTGAATGGAGATGAGACAACTCACCACTCACCATCCACGCAGCTGTGGCGGGAAGGGCTGTTCCACTATGAAGAGACTCCAGTTTAGAAGCCACCCACTTGCTCCCACAAGCCCCAGACGCTGCACACTAGAACCAGCCATTCCCTTGTAAGTGGCGGCCTGGCTGCTCCCTCTGGGGGCCTACCTCGCCCTTCTCATTGCGGATAAGCCTGTTGAATTCTTTGCCTTCTAAGCACAAGAAGTCATCTCCGGGGGTCAGAATGCCACATTTGGTGGCGATGGCCCTGGCCGTGTTGACGTTATCACCTGTCACCATTCTGACAGTAATGCCAGCCCGTCTGCATTTGTTAATTGCATCTGGTACCTGAGCAGAGTGAAGAAAAAAGAAAAGTGGTCATGAGATTGAAAATGCATGGCCCACTACCCTGGCCCAACTCTCACTTCCCTGAAGACAGGACAGAGGCAATGGCTGGTCACTGTTACAGTGCTCAGTACCCACTTGCTTCTGTCCATCCTACAGTGGGCATTTAAAATTCACTCATGATCTCAGGTTGAAGGGGAATTTGCTTTGGGAGCCAGATGTGAACACTTGTGCCTCCCTATCCTCTAGGCTCCCTGGTGATGTGGCCACTATTCTTCCCTGAAACAGTTTGAACTACTCTCTGCCCACTTGGTCCAGGCTTCAACTTACGAATGTAGAGGCGCTTCATTTGTATTTTAATAAATAAAGCTTGCTTGAAGATCAGAGAGCAAAAGAGCCTACTGGTCAGCCTTACAGACCAGGCAGTGGTAACAAACACCTTTAATCCCAGTAGCCACACTACTTGCATAGAAACAAAAAACACCACTACACTCCTGCTGGGGACCCCCACTGTCTAGGGACCTGCAGGGCTCCAGGCACAGGGCTCCTGCTGCAACCTGGACAGGCCCCCCAAGGCCGGGTTCCCAGCACCACGACAGGCTCTGAAGTGGATGCCAGGACAGCCAGCCCCAGGAGCAATGTGTGGGAAGGACAGCTGCAGCGCCCGGTGCTGTCAGAGTACGCGTCCACCGAGATGAGCCTTCATGCCCTCCATGTGCACCAGCTCCACAAGGGCACACCCAGGCTGAGCCCGAGAGACATGTGTGGCACCGCCAGGAAAGTAATGAGAGTGGAGAGCGTGCCCCTGAAGAGGGGGAAGAGGACACTCAGGGCCCCCAACCTATCCCCTGGTCTGCCAGCTATCCCTGTGCTACGCCCCAGCCTGGAGCACCCGAGACCACTGCCCTGCATTGGGGCTTCCGGTGGTGCTATGGGGGCATCACAGATCCTGGCACAGAGCCCTAGGCTCCCTTTCACTTCGCCAGGCTGCCCCTGGGAGGATGGGCAGAAGATGGGCAGCTAGCATCAAGACATCCGGAGCCCATGCAGAGGAGGAGCTCAGAGGACGAGCTGCCCCCTTAAGTGCCCAAGATACAGACAAGGCAGAAGAGGGTCCTCATGCTCCAAGATGGAGGCAACACTGCCCTGCCAACCATCTGCCTGCCATAGGAGGGCTTCTCTGAGTGTTGCCTGGCTCCCCTCACACTATCTTCTGACACTAAGATGGGAGGTCTCTAAATTGCAGGAACAGACCCCTCACACTATCTTCTGACACTGAGATGGGAGGTCTCTAAATTGCAGGAACAGGATGAAAATTCTGTCCTACCCTCTTCAACTTTTAGGATGGGCACTTGGGAATTTGAAGCTTTCCCGGACCCTTCTGCTGCTCTTGTTCTCCCACCACCTGCAGGAGGGACTGGCAGGGCAGGGCTGTGACCTCAGTCATCTACATCCCAGCAAAAGAGCTCTGCCCTGCAGCCCTCACTTCCCTAAAGGAGGGTGAAGGCGAAGGACTCACCCCAGCCTAGGGTTTTGATGGATTCACCCCAGCCTAGGGCTTTGACCTTGCACGCTGGGATTCAGTTCCTACCCTTCCCCCACGCTCCCTTCCCTAGCTCTGCTCGACTGTGGAAGGTAAACCATGCAGAAGTGGTTGACTCTGCTGTCCCAGTCAACAGCAGAACAGGATGGTGACCCTTAATAAAGAAAGGAATTCGAAAAAAATGCCACTACACACGAGCTCATTGTAGCAGCAGGATACCGTCACCATCTTGGCCTTGACAAGAACTAGTCCATCTGAGTTTTTTGGCCTTTTTGAATCCCTCATGCCTAGAACAGTGTTCTGCACACAGAGATTGCCCAAAAAGACTATGTCTCTGAAAGAAAGTGGCTAAAGAGTAAGATGCCTTCTATTTAATTATGCCCCTGACTATTCGCAAGTACCAAGTAAGAAATCCAATGAAATCGCCACTGCCTGCCCCTCAGATAGCACGGACCCTAGGGATGCTGCCTTCTACTGCCTTGGCATTCCACACTGGATGCGGGAAGCAGGTATCCGAGAGTTGTCTGTCTTTGGAAGTGACAAGTGGTTAGGCAAATCTGCACCTGCCTTCTGTGACTCCAAGGGAGCTCCTTAGCTTAAGCTGCATCTGTACCCTGACCGGTGATCTCTGTGTTTTTGCCCTTTCTTTTACCTCTGGTCGCACAGGATCCTCAATGCCCACCACGGCAATGCAAATCAGCTCAGTGAGGATTTCATTCTCATTGTCCCATGAGGGCTCTGCGTCATCGAAATCCCGGTAAGCTATGCAGATAGTCCGGAGTCCTTCACTGGCCATGGGCTCAATGACGTTGTGTACCATATCATCTCTGTCCTTACTTCTAAATGGAATGGTTTCGCCGTTCTTGTCCAGGATTCGATTACACCTGGGGAGATGCACAGTCAGAAATCAGTGTCTGCCAGCCCACTTGACGTGCTCCAACAACCACAGGCACTATGGTGATTCTGGACTATTCCTAGAGACACGATTTAATACATCTTTCATCTGTCACCCAGTTGAGTCTCTCTCTCTCTCTTTCTCTCTCTCTCTCTCCCCCCCCTCTTTTCCCCCACCTTTCTCCACACTACATGAGAGAAGATTCTCATGTAGCTCAGGCTAGCCTCAAACTTGCTATATGGATTGACCTCGAGCTTCTGAACAGGGTCTCCCATCCTGACTTTACTGGAACTTGCTATGCAGACCAGGCCGGTCTTGAACTCACAGATCTCCTCCTGCCTCTGCCTCCTGAGTGCTGGGATTAAAGGCAGGCAAAATTACGCCCAGCCTTTTATTTATTTATTTATTTATTTATTTATTTATTTATTTATTTATGTTGTTTTGTTTTTGAGACAGAGAACCTTAAATATGACCCTGAACTTGTAACCCTCCTGCCTTAGCCTCCCTAGTTTTTGGGTTACAGGTGTGTATCGCCCCTGCTGGCTATATACTTATTGGGTTGGTTGTAACAACCGCTAGGTACCTTAGCTACTTGTATACTTAGTATACAAGTGTAATGAGACTTAAGAATGAGAGAGAGAGGCACAGAGAAGCAGCTCTTGGTGTGTGCACGGTGTCTTCCGCTCACCGACTCCTTCAAGCCCAGTGAGATGGGGAACATTCTGACCACTTCCATGAACTCACTAGGAGACTGCTCCAGGTGAATCCTGGCTGTGGCACTGTTAGCTGTTCTCTCTATTAGCAAGCTTTGCAACTTCACTGCGCATATTTTCTCATCTGCAAAATGGGTCAAAATAGTACCTGCCTTGCTGAGCCGCGAGAATTAAATAAAAGGAGTCCGCAAGGTTCTTAAAAGCCAAGTCCTGAGGAAAAACTCAAATGTCACTACCTGGTTGGAGGGTCACTCATCCTTCAGCCTGGTTCTGCCTGGGCCTTCAGACCTTCCTAAGGGGGGTCTCAAAGGGGAAATTAGGGGGAGGGGCTCACTTGCGCAGCATTATCTCAGAGGCGCCTTTGCTGAACATGCGGAAGCCCTCTCCCGGCTTCCTGATGATGGTGCTCATGGACTTGCGCACTGAGTTGAAGGTGTACACTTTGAAGAGCTTCTCCTCGGGCACCTCATTGCGAACTGCTTGGTAATCTTGCTTCAGATCTGTGACAAAGCCCAGCAGGGCACACTCTGTCTTGTTGCCTACCTGCCGGGGTAGGCCTCCCTCCTTTTCTGGAGGCTGAGAGAGAAAAGAAAAACAGAAACAAAAACAAGCATGGAACTAATGAGTAGATGTCTGGACCAGAAAGAGGACCTGGGCAGGCATACCTATGCCACAGGGGAGGCAGCAGTTGTTTTTGTGACCGTGACTTACAGCCATAGAGGTATTGGGCTCTTATAGTTGCTCTATGGTAACGAGGTGTTTCACGGCTGTGGGTCTTATACCCTGTGAAGATTTGTCACTTGTATTGGCTTAATAAAATGCTGATTGGTCAGTAGCCAGGCAGGAAGTTTAGGTGGGGCAACCAGGCAGGAAGTATAGACAGGGTGATCAGAAGAGAAAAATTCTGGGAAGAGAGAAGGCTCAGTCTGAAATCACCCAGACACAGAGGAAGCAAGATGAGAATGCCTTGCTGATAAAAGGTACCAAGCCATGTGGCTAAACACAGACAAGAATTATGGGTTAGTGTAGGATGTAAGAATTTGTTAATAAGAAAGCCTGAGCTAATAGGCCAACCAGTTTATAATTAATGTAGGCCTCTGTGCATTTCTTTGGGAATGAACGGCTGTAGGACCGGGTGGGACAGAAACCTCTGACAACACCTCACCCTCTGGAAGTCTTATTCAAATGCTCTCTCTCTGTTTCTGGAAAGTGAGTAATTAATTCTGGACAAGTGTAAGTCTGCAGTGGGCATGAGGTTCCTTCCTGGAGTCACTGCCATAGGTTTGTGATGAGCACATTTGGCCAAGAGTAAGAAACAGAGTGTGGACTGGCAGTCAGATGGAATATAATAAGGATGTGGTGATCTGAGTGGCAAAGGCTCCCAGAGGCTGACAGATTGGGACACTTGGTCCTCAGCTGGCAAAATCGTTGGGAAGGATTAGACATTAGACGGGGAGGCCTTATTGGAGGAAGTGTGTCTCTAGGGGCTTTCAAAACCTGCTATCATCCCCAGTGTGCTCTCTGCCTCCTGCCTGTGGACTGAGATGTGAGCCTTCAGCTACTGCTCCCGTGCTATGCCTGCTGCCATGTTCCCTGCCATGGTAGGCATGGGCTCAAACCCTCAGAAACTGTAAGCCCCCAATAAACTCTTCTATAAGGTGCCTTGGTCATGGTGTTTACCACAACATAGAAAAGGAACTAGGACAGAAGAGTTTTCTCTGGCAAAACTAATATTGCCCCCCTGTCACCTATTCCAGGTCCCCAGGCAATGGGAAAGCTTACCAGAATCTTAGAAGTATAAGCACTGTTAATAGCAATGCCATTGACCACGAGGTCCAGAACCTTGGGTGGTAAGGCGTCAGGGCTCGGGATCTGGCGGTAATGAGTGTTCCCAATGTAAGCCTGTACCACTGTCATGCGGTTCATGGTCAGTGTTCCTGTCTTATCAGAGCAAATGGCTGTGGCTTTGCCCATTGTCTCACAAGCATCCAAGTGCCGTACCAAGTTGTTGTCCTTCATCATTTTCTACAAAAGAGAAGGGAAAGAAGTTGAGAAAGAACCAGCAGAGCTCTCCAAAGCATCGGTCAAAGGCTAAGTCCGAGCTAACACTCCTCACTTTGTGCCCTAGCCCTACACAAAAAATGCATGGTACTGTTTTTTGAGGCTTTAAGATTCTACTGGTCTGATTAAACAACTAACTGAACAGTCATTTCCTAGAGCGAGAGACTTCCACCAACGTGTACAAAGGACAGAAGAGCTTATCCTTTGACTGAGGGCACACGGGCCCCTCCCTTTCCGTCCCTGTCTCACCTTCACAGAGTAGGCCAGTGAGATGGTGACAGCCAGCGGCAGGCCCTCAGGCACAGCCACGACCAAGACAGTGACGCCGATGATGAAGAACTTGACGAAATACTGGATGTAGACGGGAGTACACTCGGGTAGCCATGCTCTGCGCTGTATCACGAAATTGTCAACCACAAAGTATAGAATCAAGATGATAACCGTGAGGGCAGACATGATCAGACCTGTCCAGGGCAACAGGGCACGTGAGCATGGGTTAGCCGCTGTACCCTTTCAATGTTTTTTTTTTTTTAAACTTTCTTTTTGTTTATTCTTTGTGTCTTTCATATTATGCCCCCAGGTCCCACCCCCACCCCCAATAAAATTTAAGAGAAAAAAATTTAAAAAAGGGAGAAAGGGAAAATGTCATCACAGAAGCTGCAGTGTGACACAGTGAGTCACACAGTAAACATTTATCCATCCATCTTTGCATGCAGATGTTCATTGCAAAGAATCATTGCTCTGGTCCAAGGCCCCTATTCTCTGCTACACCATTAATGTTGGACCCTCACTGGGACTATCTCTGGACATCCTGTTGCTTGCTTGAGTCATGGAGATCCTGCAGCCTTGGGTCCACAGGATCAACACCCCCACCCCCGTCTCAGCAGATCACAGATGGGGTAGATGTTGGACTGGGCCATCACACAGCTCTGGTTCTGGGTCTGGGTAGCTACAGGGTTGGCCAGCCCACCAGCCTTCCCCTGTCTTAGCTCTCAGGGTGAGCTCTCCAGCTGGGCCCTGGCTAGTTCACCCTTTGTAGTGATGAGCAAGGGGGCGGGGCCAGTTCTCCCATTTTCACATCTTCAGGGGCGGTTCTCCCACACCTGCACCTTCAGGGCCAGCTCTACTGTGTTGTCCAGTGCTGCAACTGATGGGGGCAGGGACAGCTCTCCTGCTCTTAGGAACTTAGGGCCAGCTCTTCCACCTACCTCAGGCATGGGTGGGCAGGGAGGGGAGGGCATCTCTCTCCACATGACAGAGGAGTAATGGGGATGACTCTCCCATGCTCACAGCTTCAGGGCTGGCTCACCTACACCTTCGCTGACAGGGCCAACTTTACTGTGCTGCCCAGCTAGTACAGGGTCTACTTTCCCCAGTGCTGGAGCTGGTAAGGGGGGGGGGTCAGCTTGCCTGTCTGTTGTGGGGGAATAAGGGGGTATACCTGCTCCCCCACCACCACAACCACATGACAGACAAGTAGTGGGGACAGCTCTCCCATGCTCACGACTTCAGGGCTGATTCGCCCACATCTCCACCAACAGGGTTGGCTCTACTGTGCTGCCCAGTTAAGGTGCAGGGCCTGCTCTTCCAAGTATTACAGCTGGTGCTTCTATAGTTTTTAAAATCATAGATTTAAAAAGTTGTATTAAAATCTTATCTCCACTCTCTGTTGCTGGTGGACAATGATAGAGGTTGTGGGTTGTGTGTGTGTGTGTTAACAAAACTAAGGCTCTAAAACAGAGGTTCCAGGATATACACGCTGTTCTCACATGCCACTAACCTGACTCATACCCTTGGATTAGTTGTTAAGCCTCTATGGGTTGAGTTCCTACTTTAAACTCTTCATTCATAAATAAGAGGTGGCATACACCTATAATCTCGGCTCTTGGGAAACTGAGACAGGAAAATCATGAGGTCAGGTCAGCTTGATCTACAAAAACCTCCCAAACCCAACCAAACAAAAAAGGGGAGCAGAGCCTGCTAGTGGACTTCCTCCTAAAAGACGTTGCTTATTACAAGGACAAATCAGGTGACACGTCATCGCAGAGACCCAGCTCCCACCCCACCCCGGGCAGGGAATGGAGAAGCAGATTGTGCCGAGACTCGAGCGTGCTCGGTTATGGCACCTGGCTCTTCATCAAGCATGCTATAATGAACTAAGCGGCATAGTGTCAACTTCCTGCCATGACCTCTAAACTTGGAAGACTGACTTTTTTCCTTTGTTCAGAGATTCTGTCTAAAGCTCTTTCTCTCTCTGGATCATGGCCTCGAGGCCCTTTCTCCTAATAAACTGCACTTCTAAAGGGACTGTGGATCAGCTACAGGTGAGGACCAGCCACCGCTTTATTAGCACCCCTGATACATTAACAAGGTGGCCGTGATTGCATGCCATGGTTTCCCGAGCAGCAAATGCAACTGTCCACTGAGCGGTGTTCTGACTTTGACGCTCCTGCCGCTGCTCTGTGCGTGTCCCACGCCCTGGTCACAGGATGTCCTCACAGTGCTAGCGTCTCACCTACACGACTTTTCCTACCGTAGCTCATCAAGAAGTCGACAATGACAGCAACAACTTACACAGTGCCTGCCACAGACCAGCCAAGCCTTCATAACCACTTCACAACAGCCCTAGGACATAGATTACTATGATCACTCCTGTTTCAAAGAAGACAAAGCCAGGGGCCAGTGAAGGAAGCTTCTGATCTAGCACACTGGTAGGGCAGCCAGCCTGATTTGCCCGAGACTCAATTTTTGGAACTTACGGTGAGAAAACTGATAAAGTTTCAAGTACCTGGGATAGCTGGGGGGTGGGGACCAGTGGCTATCCTGAGGGCTAAGGATCAATATGTGCCCACAAGTGGCACAGCATTTGGGAAACAGCCTGACGCTTCAGGGGTCTCACGGCGAGGCCATGGGGACGGCAGCAGTGAAGGTAGATTAGCTTGGCTTTGGCTTGAGTAAGGCAAGGACCAGGGTACAAAATTTAGAGATGCTCTGTTGTAGGAACTCCTTCAGCCAATAGCTTTTAAGATACTGGCCCACTTTGGGCATGGGTTAAGGAATCTAGTTAATGTTTCTGACCTAGGTACTGGGCTTAACAGGGGGCTTTTGGACCCACAGCTCAGCTCATCGAGTCTAAACAGAAGACTTCAAGGTAGTCAGAATGAGCTAAGTGCTGGATTGAAACACACTGGCTAGGTCCATACATCCCCATCAGAACTTTCTGGAATACTTGAAATGCTCTCCCTTGGTGCTGTCCAGTAAGACACGTGTGGTTAGCGAATGTTTAAAATGCAGCTACCCAGCAGCAGACGGTGGCTGCTTTTGTGTCCATCATAGATTCTTGCAGACTCTCGGGCTCTGCCATGGACTTTCTGAAGGTAGCCTGCACTTCGGCAAGGACCTCTGGAGATCTGTGCCCAGAGAAGCATGCTGAGTATGGTAAGCAGAAGCCCGAGGACCAGACCTTGAGGGACACTGCACAAAGGAGTCATCCTTTTGTCCCCCTTCCTGCTGCTCCCCTTGGCCAGAAGCCAGCAGGAAAGTGTTGGGGTGGGGATGGAGAAATCATTTGCCGCCCTCGCTTTAGGACCCTTCTTCTAAATAGTCTCTCTAACCGGTCTTCCTTGTTCTCCAGTCTTTACTGTGTATTTATTGCTCCATGCTGGGCCACAAGATTCTACCACCATGGGATTATGGGACAGGTGAGAGTTCTTCCTTCTTGCTAGCATGACCTTCCCTTGCTGTTTGGATGAGAGAGAGCTCGAGGCTATTATTAACCTTTATACACAGGAGGAAAGCCCTCTCCCAAAGCACAAGGAGTGGCCAGAGATACAACTATCTAGACCCCAGGAGCCACCCCGAAGTGCCAGTGTCTTTCTGCCAGTCCTGCTTGGTGTAACGGGAAGACGATTGGAGTGGCCGGCACACAGGGCAGGTCTTCCCATCTACAAGGGGAGGCCGGCCTAGCTACTCACCCGCCTTCCCGATCTGCACGGCCAGGCGCGTGAGCTTGCCCTGCAGCACCGACTTCTCCTTCTTGGGCGCCTTGCTTATCTTCTTCTCCTTTTCCTCGCCGTCGGTGCCCTCCTGGCTGTTGAGTGGCTGGATTTCCAAGGCCACTCCATCTTGGGTCTTTGCTAGGGTAGACACATGAATGAACAGGTGAGCGGCAAGAATGTGATAGTAAGTGGCAGGCAGGTGGAAGGTACGATGTCCCTCGGGCCCCTGACCTCGGTTTTGACCATTCCTGACTAGTGCCAGACTCCACCCACTTGGGCCTTTGGGGCAAATCTAACAACTGGAGATGGAGGATGCCTTTCGGGTCTGGATTTCTTCTTCATGACAACTCCCTGGCACCCCTCGGAGTCATGTGCCAGGTTTATAACAACAAGGGGATTAATCACACCACTAAGTCCATCACCAAAAGCATCCTTTCTGGAACTCAGAGCTTAGAACAGTGAAGGTTTACTGTAGAGAGGGACCAAAGGGAAAGAAAGCCTAGTAGATGTTAGCATATAAGGGTCCTACCTATTCTGTTAAGAGTCCCCCTCCTCCCAATCAGGGAGGAAACACAGACCCTCCCCTCAAGACCAAAGCAATTCTTCAACTGCTTCTTACATAAGTTGAAGGACAAAGGAATGAAGTGGGCAACACAGCAGGACCTGAGCTGAGGATTCTGGGGGTAAGAAAGGAAGCTGCCTAAAGACTTAGAATGAGGGGAAGAGAGAGATGCACACACAGGAAACCCATTTATTTCCCTTTCAGAAGAAGAATAAAGAGACTTGAAATCCAAGTTTTTTCTGCTTAAGCCCTGGTGCTCTGCTATGGTGCCTTTATTTCTAAAGAGTACTATGATGTGTGTAACAAGGATTTAAAAAAAAAAACAACTTTAGGAACTATGTCAAGACTACTTGCTGGTCCCCAACATTCCTCCAACATCACCGCTTGCTTAGGAAGTCCCTCTTGAGATACAGTCTTTCCTGTCTGATGCACAAACAAGACAGAGATGGGATGTAGACACAGCCACCAAGAGAAACACAAACCATATCGGGAGGAACAAAACAGACTGTGGCGAGAACAAAGAAAGAAGTGGGCAGAGAGGCAGAGAGAAAAGTCTCTCTCCAGAGCCTCTGAGCAGACGAGCGGAGAAGAAAAACAGACCAGAAGACACCGGTGAGCCAGATAGCAGAGGAGGGTGCAGGAACTGCCCGGCCAATGTCCTCCTCTATGACTTCCAGCCCAGAAACTGCCGGTGTGGACAGTGAAGAAGAGATCAGCACTCTGGGAAGAACAGATCCGTGTCCCACACCCGGAGCATTCTGGACATGTGCTTCCTCAAGCCAACAGCAGAGGGTGCTGCTGTCCTGCCTTGAGCCCACCCCCGGGTCTCTGCACCGTCCTCAGGATGAGGCCCTGGGCCACAGCAGCAGGTAACAGATTATGGAGAGGGAGGGAGACAGATGGCCTGGGAAGGTCTGGCTTGCGCGTGGGCAGATAGAGATGGCATATGAGTGGGTGGAGAGGTTACCTTTGTTGCGATTTTCAGAGACTCCTTGTTTTTTACCTGTTTGAACAAGAAAGAAAAAAGTGGGGTGGAGACCAAAGTGACCACCAGTAAGAGATGATCAGATTTGCGTTTTGCTGGTTCTCTCCCAGCACAGAAGGCCCACAGCGAAGGAGGTGGCTGTAGGGCAGGGAGATACACATGAAGGAAGCTCACGTTCATTCATCCTTCCTATGGGTTCTAAGGAATCCTTGGATGGGACTGGAGCTGAGTGTTCAGACAAGGGCACACATGGTCACGCCTGAGCTTCTCCTGCTGCTAGGCTTGAGTCAAAACTCTTGAGAAAATTGGGGTGGGAGTTGGGAAGAGAGAGGCAGGAAATGTTTCGGCTTGTGGAAAGGCCCTAAAAGGCGTCCCTTGGTCAATGCAATAGCACCAGGCAGGCTTCCTAAGTGTTCATCTGAGAGCAGTTGTGGAAATGAATAGTTGGGTTCTGAGAGATGGTTCCTTATTCATAAACTGCTCTCTGCTAAGAACCTAAGATGATCCTTGGCCAAGTGGTAGAAACTGTTCTCTCCCCACAGCTCAGAAAAAGGTACGAATTTGGCATTAGCATCTGGTCTCTTTTTCCTGTTATTCCTCTGGGAACAAGTGAGTGACCAAGACTAGTGTAACTGCTTCTCGGGTCCCATTCTTCCAACTGTGCTTCTCTTCTGAGAGAGTTTCAGCGGGATCCATGTTTTCTTCAACTCGCCTTCCTTTTATCTGTGATGGTTCATACTACTTAACTCATGAGGAAGAGAGGAAGGGGAGCGGAGGAGGACAATGGACACTCTGGCTGGAGCACCTTCCAGTCACCTAGTGTAGGGCTCACTCAGTCCTCACAACCTACCAAAGATACAGGAATTGAGGTTCATATGAAATATGACTGGAGGGCTTTGAGCCAGGATTTGGTGGTTTTTATCAGAGCATCCCAGAGACGTAGGTCGATGTGTGTGTGTGTGTGTGTGTGTGTGTGTGTGTGCGCACACACACACATATATCTATACACCACGTGTGTGCCTGGTGTCCACACAGGCCAGAAGAGGATATAGGATCCCCTGGAACTGGAGTTATAGGTGGTTATTAGCAGCTGCATGGTACTGAAAACCAAACCCACATCCTTTGCCAGAATAGCAAGTGCAACCGGGAGGTGGTTGCACATTCCTTTAATCCCAGCATTCGGGAGGCAGAGGCATGTAGATCTCTGTGAGTTCGAGGCCAGCCTGGTCTACAAAGTGAGTTCCAGAACAGTCAGGACTACACAGAGATACCCTGTCTCACAAAACAAAACAAACAAACAAAAAGAGTAGCAAGTGCTCTTCAACCACTGAGCCATCTCTCCAGCCCCACAAGTGACATCTGCACCTTGGCGAGGAGCTTGGGTATCTGTTGCTTCATCCCAGTAGACTTTTCTAACGGGTTTTCCTTCTGGATCTGCTCTCTGACCCTTATTTCATTCACAGAGATGAAGGAGAATTTCATTCTCACTCGGCATGCCCCTTACCTTTCTTCTTCTTATCATCCTCCTCCTCCTCCTCCTCACTGGCCCCTAAGAGGGTGAAGATGATTCCAGTCTGGGAGTTGATCCCCACGGCAGTCACCACCATCCTGCCAGAACCTTCCATCACGTGAGTCCCTATCAAAGGGACGGGAGAAGACAGAGACTAGTGCTGTTGGATATTCTCAGCTGCGATTCGGTACGAAATACAAACTTAAAGGCACAGTGATCCCTTTTCTTTATGGGCAGTACTCTGATTAGAAGGCAGTAAGAGAAAGCCAAGAGATGAACCTGTTTAAACCAGACCAAGGAAACAGAGGTCCTTCAAGGCTGATGTATTAACTTTGTGCCATCTTCCCAAATAGCAGGGCTCCTAAAACACTCACTTTATGAAAAATTTCTTTCAGGTTACTGACATCCCTGTATCAGGACTAGCCTTTAGTGTTATTTTGTTTGTGCTAGAACAAACAAAACTTGGCTGGGCGGTGGTGGCGCATGCCTTTAATCCCAGCACTTGGGAGGGATTAAAGAGGCTGGCGGATCTCTGTGAGTTCAAGGCCAGCCTGGTCTACAAGAGCTAGTTCCAGGACAGGAACCAAAAAAGCTATGGAGAAACCTTGTCTCGAAAATCAAATAAATAAATAAATAAGTAAAGCTTGCCTGAGGATCAGAGTATGGATGAGCCACTAGTTAGCCGTAGAGGCCAGGCAGTGGTGACGCACACCTTTAATCCTGGCACTTGGGAGGCAGAGGCAGACAGATCTCTGTGAGTTCAAGGCCACCCTGGACTACACAAGATTGGTCCAGTCTAAAAGAGAAACAGAGACGGCTCACACCTTTAATCCTAGTACTTGGGAGTCACTTGCCTGTAATCCCAGCACTAGAGAGTTGGGGACAGGAAGGAATGGCTGGGCAGAGAGAAGAATATAAGGCAGGAGGAGGCAGGAGCTAAGGCATTCGGTCTGAGGACTTGAAGAGACAGGATACCCCTGAGGATTTCATAGAGATAAGAACTAATGCTGGCTGCTCGGCTTCTCTTCTCTAGCCTTTCAGCTTTCACCCTCTAATATCTGACCCCCGTGTTTTTATTATTAAGACCAATTAGAATTTGTGTTACATCATCCAAATGTTTCTACTCCATCTGAACCCAAGAGATGAAGAAAGGATGGAACACTCCCTCTACTCAGAGGGAATAGGGCCCAGAACCTGTGAACTGGCTATCTGGGGGCCATGGAATGAGAACCTGGGCAACCAGAGGCTATACCTGAGAGCAACATGGGATCTTTGTCCAGAGATTTCTTGACATGATCTGATTCTCCAGTCAGAGAGCTCTCATCAATCTTCAGGTCATTCCCCTGGATTAGGATTCCATCTGCAGGCAGCAGGTCACCTAGTGCATAAGGGGAAGAGTCACAGTGAGGCCAAGCAGGTGAGAGCCAGCATCTCCACGCCACCTCGGGGCTGCTCTCCTGGTAAAATCTACAGGGCTATGGCCCCGTGAGAAGCCCAAGAGCATCTAATTCTAGAGCTGGGTGGGGCTCAGTGGCAGAGGGCCCACCTACACTGCATATGGCACTGGGCTTGATCTTAGGATCACACATAGCTCCAACTGACACCTTTCTGAGGCCTAACTATTATATACCTTGACTCCTAAATCATAGAGAACACAAGTATGACAATCTCTTCGAAGAGTAGCCTATGGCTTTCTCCAGAATTTCTTCCCACAACCTCCTTAAATTCTATTGACAAGTTACCACATGCTGAGGGTTTATTTGGGGGAGGTTCAGAAACTCCTAGCCCCTCATGTCAATGGACTTGCTCCTCACATGTGTGTAGGCCAGAGAAACATGGTGTTCTTACCTTATTTGATCTGGGCAATATCTCCCACCACAATCTCAGCCACGGGGAGTTGAATGAGCTGGCCATTGCGGATAATGCAGAATTTCTGCTCGAGCTCAATGCGGCTCTGCAGCCCCCGGAACTGCTTCTCCTTGCTCCAGTCATTGAAGGCCGTCACTAACACCACAATGATCACTGAGGTAAGGATGGCCGCACCCTCAATCCAGCCGGTTTCCGCTTCTTCCTCTTCATCTGGGCTACCTGAAGCCTGACCACATACTATCCAGGAATGAGAGAAAGAGTCATTGAACCTCTACAAGATGGAAGGTCAAGGGAAGAGAGCAATAGAAAATAACACTCTGAAGCGAAGGGCTGCTCTCCAAGGAAATCAGAAGGTAGCAGAATGGACTCCCATCCCATCATCACTAGATCCATTTGTGTTCATTACCAAATAGTGCAAAATATGCCAATGCAAGGCACGCGAAGTGCAGTTGGGGCTCACTGCTATTTCCCATGATGCCAAGCACTATGGTCAGGACACACTGAGATGCAGAGGTAAGGACACAGGATGGGTGGCATTCTGAGGGGAAGGGGGACAGTTAGGAGAATGGCTTACTAGCTCCTGGTCGTTCTCCTTTGCAGAGCATTCTGGACAACAGGAACACTGTATACTACAACCTGTCAGCCACCGGTACTAAGTATGGTTGCTGGGTAACAAGAACACCGTGTACTACAACCTGTCAGCCATCGGTACTAAGTATGGCTGGTGCCATGGAATGGATCCAGGTCAGCCACATGGGGCCGCTTAGACACTCACTTTCATTATCTCCGCCAGGGGGTCGATAGAAGGACAGGACCAGGGAGATGATGGCTGCGATCTCTAGGATGATGAGAGTGACATCCTGCAGGGCTTCCCAAACTAATTCTAAGAAAGTCTTGGGCTTTTTTGGAGGTATCAAGTTCTGTCCAAAAACAAGTCTACGCTTCTCCAGATCTAAAGGGTTCCCAGATAGACCTGAAAAGGAGACAAGAAAGAGAAAAGGGGTTGAGAGGTGATATCAGAAGTCAAACTAAAGGTCTAATTATTTATTTACTTATTTTTATCTATCTATCTGTCTGTCTGTCTGTCTGTCTGTCTATCTATCTATCTATCTATCTATCTATCTATCTATCTATCTATCTATCTGTATATGCGTCTCTCTGGGAAAGTATATACCATGTATGTATGTGTGCCTGTAGAAACCAGAGGGGGCAGCATCAGATCTCCTGTGAGCTGCCTAACATGGGTGCTGCCACCACAATACAGGTTTTTCTAGTGATTGAGCAGCAAGAGTATCATGGCTAAACCCTCGGTTACCATAGGAAGTGCAAAGGCCAGAATCTAGCATAAGGAAAGAACTCCTGATCAGCAAAGGTGGATCTTTGCTGAAAACAACTGGAAGATGTTTACACCTCGATACAATATTCCAAAGGAGCCAACACTTGATCTTGTGTTGAGACTGTGTGGTGCCAAGAAAGAGAGGGTGTCTAAAATGACCCTCAAGAAGCAGAGGAGGAAAAGGTTAAATAGGCCAACGTGAAATACTATGGAGTGTATGAAAATGTCAAAATGAGCCACCTTCCAGAGGCCCCTTTAGAGGTATTCTAGTGCCAGCTGCTTTGACAGATATCAGTGCGCCATGGAATGTCTGACTTACAAACCAGAAGACTGTGTACGGGATAAAATAAAAATAAAAAGACCTCTGTCCAGTTAGGAGACCTGGAATGGGGGTGCAGTGGGAATGTGGTCAACCACCCTGGTTTGCTCGGCACCCTGGGACTATGGAACCTTTAAAGGTTTAAAAACGAGCAAAGGGTGACAAGATGGCTTCAGCGTGGGGCTTTTGCTTCCGTGACCAGGCTAAGTAGATTTCTGTTCCTCAGGGGCTGTGCCCCAGGCTTTAGCTCTAAGAACAGAAGCTCTGGAATGTTCTTGGGATGCACAGGACCCTTCTCTCACAGGACCATGCAGATGCTGGTGATGACCTGAACAAGCTGGCTCACACGTGAGGGCCAAAAGAACCAGCCACTTGTTGCAGGCCACGCAAGGCGGAGGCAGAGGCTATCCATGTGTCTTCATTCCACAGGAGCTATACATCACTGAGTTAGAATCCTCAAGACGATGTAGTCTTAGGTACGTCACCCCTGCTGTTCTGTCTATCAGAACCTCCAACAAAAGTGTTTTACTTACTGCTAAGTACTTGGTATGAACTAGACACAGTATTGCAGCTCAGGCTGAATAAGAACCAAGCAAAGCCATGAAGTTTCCAGGTATTACACGGTTCTTGACAGCCAGCATTTTCCCCACTAAACCAGAACATGTAGCCCGCCCACAATTACTCCCAGGGTGGAGGTGGGGAGGCAGAATTATACTCCATAGCTTCTCACAAATGTTGGCCCCTCTTCTGGACCCTAGAGAGGTCCCAGGTTGAGGGAAGCCTTACACAGCTGTGAAGAGCAGTAGGCATTCATTAAGTTCTTTACATAGTGCAGCAAATTACTTTTACTTTTTTTTTTTTTTCCTGTTTTGGCTTTGGCACTGGACGCTGTTGGCTGCCTGTTTGGTGGGTTCCCCACAGGTAGGGTAGGGCAATCTTTGTCTTGAAAACAGGTCATCAGCTGTGGAAGCTCAGCCTCAGGGGCAGAGGATACGCCACTGAGCTTCACACAAAGCAAGGAAATGTGTGTGCCTGGCGGGAGAAGGACAGCATGGAGTCCAGGATGTCAGGGACTCCACACTGGGTCATCACTTCCAGTGGTGAGGCGAGGGATCGGCACTATGTGAGGGCGAACGTTCTTCTTTTCCACTGAACAGCGCAGACACTGTGACCGGAGGAAGGAAGGGGCTAAGCTTTAGGAAGACCTCAAGGCAGAAAGAGATCTTGAAAATGGGCAAACATGCAGACAGTGAACAGAGCCTGCAGGGTGGGAGGTGGCTACCATTTTCCCAAGCTCACTCCAGCAGCTGGAGAGAAGAGCCCTCTGGCTCCAAGAGGGAGGAGTCGGAAACAGGTTGGAGGTAGAGCTGGGCAGGAGGGATGATTTCACATTGCCCTGTTCATCCTGTGCAGTGAGAGGCTGGAGGGCATGGAGGCAAGGGGCAGGGAACTGTTTGGGGACATGGTGCCTGAGACTGTAATCCAGGGCCCCATCACTCAGCTTTAAAGGTCTGTCAGTCCAGCTGAGCAGCCAGTTGAGCTCCACAGGGGAGCAAGGCTGAGTTCAAAGCACTAGAAGCCAAGTTTCTTCCCAGCCTCCTCAGCCTGTCCTGCCCTGGGAAGTCAGGTTCCCAGTCAGGAAGGCAGGGAAGGGCCTGGGAAAAGAGTGTTCTGGGCAGGGCATCTGGATCCCCAGGCAGGCAGGGGCAGAGTGGCCGGGAGGCAGGGCTTGCTGGTCCTTTGCCCTAGGGGACCAGAGAGAGCAGAGCTGTGCCAGCTCCTGATTATTGCTCTGGATGGACAGACGGGCTTAAGGGAGACAGAAGTTCAGATATTTTGCTAATCTACTCAGGGTGTTTGGCAAAGATGTGGATTCCCAACTCCCAGGAAGGAAATGTCCTTCCTTTCTTTGGTAAGGGTTCCCCGCGTATTGTGAGGGTGACCAAGGAGTTAAAGATCAGAGCCAGGTGTGGTGACTCAGACCTGTATTCCCAGCATTCAAGAGCTAAAGCAGGAGGATGGTGGCAAGTTCAAGGTCATCCTGGATCACAGGTCAGCCTGTGCTATAGAACCCCATCTTTAAAAACCTAAAGAGCTACTAAAGGTCACTTTAAGGGACACCTCACTAACCAACACTCTCCCCAAAGTGAGTCTGCCTGAGCAACCTCCCTCAGTGTGCAGAGGCAGGGTGACCACTTACCCTGTCTGTCTCTCATTTTAATACCTAATGATCACCGTGTGTGCTCTCTCTCCCTCCACCCTTGCTCTCCCGTTCCCAGTCGGCTCCACAAAGATCTTTTTAAATATGGTACATGCTACTCTTCCCAAACCTGTGTGACTTTTCCGTGGAGTGAACCTGGGCACTAAGACCCTTGGTGGCCTCCAAGGCCACTTAGGGGCCTCTGGCATTTATCTCTTCCTATTTCCCAGTCTTCCTC